TGCTGGGTATTTTGGACAGTGTTGAGAAGTTTGTCCTGCAGCCCGAATTCACTCTGTTCCACATTTACAACTGGAATCCTGAAGGGGCCACTGGATAGACCATTAAAACACAGTGGAATATTGGATATGTTGCTCTGAAATTCAAAAGGTCTATGGGGCATTGTGCCTATTTATTGATCATAAGTGAAGGGGTGTGAGGAGGGAGCTGTCTTTACATAACCCAGACCACTAAAGGCATGGAAACTGTGGCCTCTGGAACACCCAACCTCTACTTTGCATATTTTTAATAAAGGGATCTAAAGGATTTTCTATTTTCTGCCCATTGAATTCAATCAACATAATGTTAACATAGTGGGCCAGTCTGGTGTTGCATTAAATGACAAACCTCTGTGGACTGTGTGATGGCAGAGAACCAAATGAATGATTACGATATCATTAATACCTCATTTTTGGAAAGGGAGAACAGTCTAAGGAGCCACCAAACTAAACACCTTTGTGGGCCTGTCACCAAGGACCCCCCAGTTTGAACACCTGGCAGTAAGTATAATTAATGCTAGGAATATAGATCTATTTTTAAAGCCCTGTGAAATGTCAGGATTTTAGTGCCCTCATTAGAATGATGGCAGCGCAGGCCTAACTCTCCTTTTGATCATGTGGAAGAGAAACAGCAAACTCAGGGCTCTGGGCTTCTGAGATAGACCAACCCACGTCCAAGTCCTGACTCTTCACGTCCTCAGCAGATGATAGCAGACCTAGTGTTCTCCAATTCTGAATTTTTAGCCATTAAATAGGGGCTTATCTGCTGGAAGGACTGTGATGACAATTTAGAGAGCTCCCATTTGCCCCTGCTCAGTCTCCTGACCACTTGGCTTCTCAGTAGGTGATGGCCAACGTCGCCTGACCCTCATGGAGTGAGCTGCTTTGGTGGCTCCCATGTACATCACCTGTGGAAAGACAGCTGCTGTCGAGTGATGGCTGGTGAGCGAGGCTCATGCTTGCAATTGATGTGAAACAGGATTACAGAGTCCCTTCCACCCTGAGGGGTAGAGACTGTGCCATCCTTCTGGCCTCACCACTCTCCCTGAAGTGGTCAGCATCTAGGAAAGGAGTGTTCAACACCTTTCAATAGCAGCCCCATGGGATTGTAGCCATTGATGTCTCCCAGGGTGAGTCCTGGTCGTGCTTATCCCTCCTCAGCACAGAGGCCATGGTCTGGGCCCAAGCAGTCATGTTCCTGGTGGACTCCAGAGGGACTAATGTGTGCCAGAGTGTGCCGCTGTGCAAGTCAGCCCTGGCATGAGGGCTCTGGGTGAAAGATATGTCTCTGGGCCGGAGTCCCTTATGTGTAATGTGAGGATGTCACCACTTCCCGATGGGCAGCTCACCTCCCACCCCTTTCCTAGTTCAGGTGAGACAGAATGCCCCAGCACTGTGTGGCAGTGGGATGTGTGCTTGTGTGCACAGAACACTATGGGAACTTCCTAATAGGATAGAAGGACTTTGAGGTACAAGAATGTGTGAGTCACCACCAGCTTGGGGTCCTCACTCCTTCTTTCTTTCCCAGGAGGTCTAGTTTCCAGGGACGTGACCTGCTTCCGTGAAGAAAGGCATGGGCAGCTAAGATGGCGGCTGGCTGTCTGGTGAGTTATCAGGTGCACCTCAATGTGTCTTCCTGGGTGGGTTCTAGAGCCTCTACCAAGGAGGGTTGTCTCCAGCTTCTAAAAGCAAGCAGAGCCCCACTGCGGGCTGGGTCGCTAGTGAATTTCCACAAGAGGGGAGCCTCTGTATTATATGTGTTAGGGGGAAAACATCCCCGTGTTTCAGTGTGGCTAACCGTCTCCCCTGGGCTGCAAGATGCATGTCTCTGGTTCTGCTAAGCACTGTGATGCATGGCGAGGAGGAGGAAGGATCCTTTTCTCCAGGAATTTATTCATTAGTCACCATTTACCAAGTATTTGCAGTGTGCCTGGGATCATGCTACAAAAGAGGGAAGTGAGAGAGGAGAGCTCCCTGTCTTGTGTAGGGAGACAAGTAAGCTCCCGTGTGTAACTGCCGTTAGAGCTCCTGAGTGGAGGAGCTCGGTGGTGTGAGAGCATGGACAGAGAAGAGCTCCTAGGATCAGTGAACCAGGGGTGGACAGGGGAGCCCTCCTCATTCCCCACTGACCCCCAGTGGATGTGTTCCTTGGCTCAGACCAGCATGTGTATGACAATGCAGGACTCAGTGACCTTTGACGACGTGGCTGTGGGCTTCACCCAGGAGGAATGGGACATACTGGACTCGGCTCAGAGAGACCTGTACAGAGAGGTAATGCTGGAGATCTGCGAGAACCTGGACTCAGTAGGTAAGGCTGCCGTCACTCCTCTGGCCTCCTAGAACGGTGCATGTTATGGATTTGAGAACAGAGGCAAGTTGCTGCACTGATGGGCTTTAATCTAACAGGGTGATCTTCACAGCATGGTCCCAGAGTCAAGAGCATCACTGCCACTCTGTTAGAAATATGCAGTTCCAGCCTCCCACCCACACATACACACACTGAGTGGAAGCAGGGTCTGTGGCCAGCTTGTCCTCTGAGCCATCCAGATGCTCTGACTCACTCCATAGTTGAAAACCACCAGGAGTTTTCCAAGTGAATGAAGATGCCCTAGTTTTGCACTTACCTTGAATAAAAGTCTTATAGGATTTTTGTTTTGTTTTGTGTTTGAAACAAGTTCTTACTCTGTCACTCCTAGCTGGAGTGCAGTGGACTCATCATAGCTCCCTATAATCTCAAACTCCTGGGTTCAATTCTCCTCCCTAAGCCTTCCAAGTAACTGGGACTACAGGTGCCTGCCACATGCCTGGCTATTTTTAGAGACAGAATTCCGCTCTTGTTCAGGCTGGTCTCGAACTCCTGAGCTCAAGCAATCCACCCACCTCGGCCTTCCAGCAGAGTTCTGGGATTAATCCTACTGTTTTTTAACACACTGACTGCAATACACACAAAAAAGAAAATTTGTCCTTGAGGCTATGGTGTTTTATTACAAAAATAGAACAAAAACATAGAAAACAAAACAATCCTAAAACATAGAGACATAAAAAAGTAATATAAAAACTTGAAAATTAGTAATGTGAGAAGTTATGTGAAAATGTGAAAAGTAGTTCCTGATTCTAGTGGCTGTTGATGTGTTAAATAAGCCTTTGACTGTGATGTGGGTGTCAGGGTCAGTGATAACCAGTCTCTACTGGGCACAAAGAACTGGGAGCTTGAGCTGTGCTGGCCAGTGGGAGGCTCAGTGTGTTTGGGAGCATGACAGGGAAATGCTTCAAGATGCATCAGGTCACACACCTGTGGGTGTTGGACTTGGGAGTTTACGACATCTCCAGCTTCCCAAATTTCTTTTCTGCTGATGCAAACTTTCCCGTGATCTCATAGATGAGCTCCTCTTTTGTTCTTTGAGTTTATTAAGGCCTGTCTACCTTCCTTACCTGATAATACTGTTTCTGTTTACTTCCACATTTAATTTTCATAGAATGAACTGTCAAAAAGTTATTGAACTTGGGCCGGACATGATGGCTCACCCTTGTAATCCCAACACTCTGGGAGGCTGATGTGGGAGGATTTCTTGAGCTCAGGGGTTTGAGACCAGCCTGAGCAAACGGGAGACCCTGTCTCTACCAAAAATAGAAAAATTAGCTGGGTGTTGTGGTGGGTACCTGTGGTTCCAGAAACGGAGGCAGGAGGATCACTTGAGCCCAGGAGTTTGAGGTTGCTGTGAGCTGTGATGCTACAGCACTCCACACTAGGAGAACAGAGAGAGAGTCTATCTCAAAAAAACAAAAAAAGGCTTGGTGCCCATAGCTCAGTGATTAGGGCGCCAGCCACACACACAGGACTGGTGGGTTCAAACCCGGCCTTGGCCTGCTAAACAACAATGACAACTGCAATAAGAAAATAGCCGGGTGTTGTGGCGGGT